CCCTGATCAGTTGACCTTCTATGGTGGGTTGCATGATCTTTAAAATGGTGTGCGTGCTTCTTCTCATGTTCCGTTATTGCCAAGCAATAATAAAATACAGAGACATTCTTCATCATTCTCACATGCTTGTTGTCTTTGGCAGTAGTTAGCTAGCATTATCTGTTTCTTACAGTTTTAAAACTAAGATCCTGTTAAAATTTGTAAGATACTGTTTATATGATGGCAAAATGGTAGAATGCGTGTGCTTCCAATGCAGGGAATTACAATTACTTCAACAACAATTGGGATCTCTATTCCATATATAGGTTAGAAGAAATGTCCTTGTGTATGATTGTGTGAGCACTTCTCATCAGATTTAGCCTCATCTGAGGCATGAGGCTGTTAATAGAACCAGTAGCATTATGAACCGTAAGATATTTCTGTGTGTACTGATAGCGTGCGTGCACTACAGTTGGCTTTCCATGGTGTCCCACCTGTATGGGGAGTAACAAAACAGTTGGACTATACCAGGGTGTTTTGGAGTAACTCTTAAAAAAGGAGCAGGATTATTTTCAGTTGTTTTTTTTTTTGTGAAATAGTATACTTCAAAGGCTTTTTTTTATTTGTGCTGGCCAAAGTCTTCATGGAGTGCATGTGTTTAAAAACCATACCATATATACGTGGTATCTTCAAATAAGTCTGTCTTGGGATGTAATTATCTGTTAAAGTAGGTGATAGGTAGTTCTTTAAATGGCCCTTTACTATTCAGTGTTGTGCTCTGCAGGCACTTCATAGCACTGCTTGTCAAGTTTTGTAGAAAAACCCAAGTGTTCAGATTTACCAGTGTAGAGGCAAGAGTTTTGTCTTAAAACCAAACTGTAATTAGTCTGAAGTTAGAACATTTGTTTTCTTGTCCTTCTGCATTTTTAAGTGTGTGAGCTGGGGGGGCGAGGGGGAATTCATTTGCTTTCTTTTGCAATGACCTGCAACCTCTGTGTCTTCCAGAGAAATATTAGTCCCCAGGCTGCGGGTCAAGGAATACTGCTGCAGACCATCAGAAGAAATAGTGGTAGAGAATCTAAACCTGTTCATTGTCAAGGAAAATAAGCTGAGTTGTCCAGATGACTGCACAGTTCCCTCAGGGTTTGAGCTTTGGCTGCTATTGCTAGCCTGCTTTATCTTAATCCAGGATGAACATGTGTCAGGCCCAGGATCCATCTATTCAGTATCTGGTCTTCAAGGTGACCAGTGGGTGCTCTGGAAAAGTGGTGGTGTGGGTTTTGGTGTTTGTTTTTTGTTTTTTTTTTTTTTTCCTGAGAAGCTCAGTCTAGTGTCCCAGGCTCTGGGAGCCAGTGGTTCCAAGACCAGCTGACTCAGAGGATTAATTCAGAGCAGTCAGAGTTGGTAGCTATTCAAGATGTCTCGATGCTATCTGAAGCCTATGAATCCCACCATTTTTGTCGCTTGCAAACTTGCAAGTGATGATGTTGCTGTAGCTAGACCTTGGGCTTGCCTCCTTGGGGCATGTGAGATGTTAATGTCTGATGGAAGCTGGGTCGATGCTTCTGTGAAGACCAGTGGACTGTGGTATTGCACGGAAAAACAACGGGCCCAGGAATATCTGGGTTGGAAGCTGGTCAGTGTCCCATGAACATATGTTCTTGTTAGCTCAGATTTTTCCCAAGTATCTGTCAGTACCTACTCATTGAGTCACATATGACTGATGTGATGATAAAGTTCCTGCATGAATCAGCTTACATGAGTATTCTCTGAATTCAGGGTTTCTTTATTTGGAAACATCACCTGCCATTTATAGCGTGGGTTTTGACATTTTGTAACTGTGAAAAACAAAAAATCCCCATCTCACCTCTCTCCCCCCCCCAACACTCTACCCTACAGGGCATGTGGCTTTATTTTTAGAGTTCTGGGAATTTTCTTGCAAGTATATTGTCTTCATTATATTGTTTTCATGCAGTGCTTTGAAATCTTTTATTCTAACTAAGCGTGGGTGATAGGATGTTAATTTTTTTCAAGGGCTGTAACTGAGGCATGAACAATGGGATCAGTAGAGTGTCGAAGACTGTTTGATGGTGACTGTACTGCGAGGGAATATTGCTGTTGCAAAGGCAACAGCTGAGTAATGCCCAACTTTGATTCCCATTACTTCTAAGCAAATAAAATAGTAACTGAGTGCAAAATACTGGCGTGTAATTTCTGTGATCACTTCCAGAGTTTCCTCTGCCGAGGAGGCATAGCCCTGAAAACGCATCCTGGAGAAGTGATGGGATCTAACCTCACTCTTGTTGCTTCACAGAATGTCCTTCGGCTCTTGCACGTGAAAAGAGCTGCCCAGGAGCAGAGTGGTTGTGACTGGTCTGGGACCTGGGCAGTTACAGCTGGCTAAAGGGGTCCCCGTGGGTCTTGCTCTGCCCAGGCTGTTCTAGGAGGGTTTTTCTTATGGAACAAACATTTCTTCAAATTACTTCCTCAGTGCTACCCTTAAAACCCCCTGATGAATAGCCATGTCAGTTGGAAGTGCAGTTTATTTCCATTAGCAGGTCAAAATCCTAATGTCGAAGCCAGCTTGCGCAAAGGGACCTTCGCGTCGATGAGAGAAGCTAGCTGTGTCAGGATGAAGCAAAGGCAGCTTGCCACTCTAGCTCTCTGGAGGCAGGACTAATATGTAGGTCGGTCTCCTAAATAAGAGGTGAGCTAGGGAAACTGTCCTTTTTCTCATCATGTGCGATGGAAAACCAGGGGAAAAATTCAGCAAAGGATCTCCTGTTTCTCTTCCTTACCGCACTTATCTTCTGTAACTGCACTCAACTCTGGCTGGTGCCCGGGAAGATGGAGCATGGGGCAAGGTTGAAAGCAAGATACTCCGGGTAGGTTATGGCTGAAGGTCAGCACGTTTTCCTCACGCTGGCCTGAGGCAGGAACACCAAATAGAGTGGAGCCGAGTTGCTGCTTTTTCTTAACGAGCCTCTTGTTCACTCTACGCTCGCATGGACAAAACTCAGGGAGACCTGAGGCGGCAGCACAAGTTATGGTCTGTGGTCACAGTGGATTTAATGAGAAGACATTCTAATGAACTTTCAACCTAGGTTCTTAATTCTGACTCTGGATGTATTTTAGATGTGTTTATTCTTTCTCTTTTCAGTTCCCGCTGTGTGATGGCTCTCACACAAAGCATAACGAGGAAACTGGTGACAACGTTGGGCCTCTGATCATCAAGAGGAAGGAGGCATAGAGTGGACAGTAGAAGCTACAAAATGAATGTCTGACAAATCCTCTGCTCACTTGTAATTGGGGGAAAAACCACAAATTCTTTGTCACGTCACTGAAGACTTTCCAGTGTAGTACATACATCAGGCTTCAGCATGTGTATTTTCTCTGGTGCTTGTCTTGTTTTAATCACTACAATGCATAATTTACTAAATAGTCATGGTTTAAATTTTTTGTCCTGTAAAGTGTGTGTACTCTCTCATTGAATATGAAACTAAAATGACGCACAGAATGTACTTCATCAGAAAATAGGTATTAAATTATTTTCAAATACATGCATACTACTCTGAGGCTATTCAGTAGAAAGTGTGTTCAAAATGTAGATCTTAAAATTCTGGAGAGGTTCTAAAGTCACAGGTCTGGATAGATTTCTACGTAAAAGGCAGTGGCAGGAAAGAAATCATGGTGCCAAAATGCAGCTTAACCTCTGATTATGCTGCATTTTCTGCAGGTGTCACGTTTGGCCTGTAACACTACTGTTCTGTATGGCTTCTGGGAAAAAAAAAAACCAAACAAAAAAAACCCCAACAAATTTAAAATAGTGAACTAGAAACAGACAATGTAAAAGGCTTATAGCGAGATGGCGCTAAAGGGCAACTTTACCTTTAATTTTACAGCAGTGTTGAAACTTGACCCTACTACCATATGGTATCAAGAACATAATACTGGAACTGCAGACATGTATTTAGGTTAGGATTAGGAAGATGGTCTCTGTGAGAGCTTTCTTAACAGACGAGTGGAATGATACGAAGTGCGTGGGGGTGGCAGGGTTGTCTTTGCTGCTAGAAAGCCTTAGTTTTGCTTGCAATCTCTGGCAGTGAAGCTAACTTCCCCAGACCACAGGACACTTCTGGGGGAGAGGCTATGCTGATTTATTCCAGAAGCTAAAATAAAAACTAAAACCCCACTCATTGTTACTGTCTGCTTCATCATTGCTCTGGCTGGTTCTGGAGGACTCTTCCCGCTGCGGAGGGAGGAGGCACACCTTTCTTACTAAGTGGCCTTAGGCTCTATGTGTCTTAAATAACTCCTGCCTCCCTGAGCTAACTGTTAATGTGGTTAAGCTACTTTTACCAAAAGAACTGACAAGGAAAGGCTTTGGTGACAGCTAGAAACAAGGGGGAAAGGAAGGGTGAGACGAGAGCTCTTACCTTCCTGTTGTATGGCACTCATCTGCCTCGTTTGACATGGTTGCATTAATGACTATCATGTTGGTTTCCATAAATTAAATAGCTTTGATTTATTAACATGCAAATGACTACAAAGCAAAACCCAAAGAGTGGGGTGGCAGAGGGCAGTTTTGTATTAAACCCTGTCTATTAGCATAATTGGCAGCCTGGGTAAGATTGAGCTCTTGATGTCCTGGGACAGAGGGACTACCTCAGAGCTAGAGGAAGGCCTTTTCAAGAAGCTGACATTTTAACCCAGACCCTTAAGGATTATTCCAGATAATCGGGGCAGTAGGGGTTTTATTTAATTTTTTTTTAAGGGTATGGTTGGTATGACTGGTTAAGATTAAAGAAAATCTTTTGCATATTCTCGATGTGAGACTTTCAGAGCCCGAGGTCTTAGCTGACTGGTCTGAACTTGGGCAGAAGGTGCAAAAAGTAGAGAAGGTGGCACAGAGGTAGAGAAAGAGGGTTTGCAGGTGGAGTGCTGTAGAGGGGGCAGCTACTGTCTGTGAGAGACCTCTGCTTGTAAGAAGTTGCAGTCAAATACATTTAGTTTCTGTCTTTTCTTCCTGTCTTGATTGTAAAGGTACTTGATATTTTTTACTTGGCCAAGTACTGATGCATATGGAAAGTTGTTTTAACCTTAAATTATCAAATACATTGCTTTTATCCAAAACAAAGTTATTTCTGTGTTACTAGAACATGACACTGGATATTTCTGTATTTTTGTCAAATACACATTTGAGCTCATCTTAATCTTGAAGTTGTAACGTCTGTGTTAGCTCACGGGTGTGCTGTTTCTTTCAAGGGAGAGTTACACTGTGAGTAGTGCTGTATGCCAATGCTGCTGTAACCATAAACCTGTCTCTGGGTTGGGTTTTCCTTCTGAGACTTTTTTTCCTGTTAGCAGCAAAGCCTGGCTGCTCTTGAAGGAATAAAAGTTCACTGAAAACTGCATTAATGTTCTGAGAGATGGAGTCCTGAAGTTTCAGATGAGTCTCCCGAGTCATAAAACTCTTTCTTGGAGTTTGCCAATAAAACATTTCCTGGAGTTTGGGCGTCATGGAAGGGGGCTCCATGACGGGTTTTTGTTCCTGGGAAGCAAAGATGCAGGAGCCGAGTCTTTGCCGATTCCCATCCTGGTGAGTTTGTTTTGGAGAAGTGTCACGTTTATAAATGTTGACACAATGTGGTTAAATTTTATTTTGATGCACGTACAATTTTCTGTACTATACCTAAAAGTTCCTGTTACTCATGTATGTGAGCTGTTCGAATGTGATAATGAAAAGAGATACTTGAATTTGAGTAAACAAACTTGCCAGCGGTCTTGATGAGCGTCACAGAGAACACTTCATTTTTTTTCCTTAGTGCCATAATAGGTTATCATGTTCTGATAGACTGAGTGCTTGCCTGCTCCAGTGTTTTCTGAAATCTCTTCTTTTGTGCTTTCCTCAAACAATCTCTAGAATATGAAGTGAATTGGTTAGATCTTTGCCAAGTTTTTAACCATAAAGAAATTCTTCTGCAAATGTACAGTTTTCACATCACATTGAAAGTCCTACATGAAAATCTGGTACAAATCCTTCATATTAAAGCAGTGAAGGATTCCTGTCCCAGAGTAAAACTGTATCTCTGTTCTATGTTGTTATTTTTCAACATGTAAGTGTTCATTAGGATGGTGAACAAATTAAAGTACTGATTCTGCAGTAATTGAGTGTGACTCATGAAAATAGTCTGAATGTCAAATATGCAAGTGCTTCTAGAATCCCTTCTTGAAGAGGGGACGGTTGTAAGTTACAGGTGCTTTCTGCACGTTTAATTCAAGCACTGTTAATCTAAGGGATAATTTCAAACGGTGGAGGCCAGCAATTACATGCTGGTCCACTAGGAGGAAACAAAAGCTGTGCAATGGGTACTCCTCGGTGTGGGCAATGCTGTTCTTGCGGGTTTTTTATGCATGCGTGGATTGATCTGGGGGGGGGTTTCAGCAGCATTGCTGCCTGTCTGAGCCCAGGCATCTAGAAGTGCTGCATTAACATGTTTGGGATTAAGCCGCTTTTCATGCACGGAGGCTCATGCGCTTTCAATCTAGGACTTGTATCGCCAGTTCCCTGACAGTCAGCTGCGGAGCTGACCGCAGGCCCTACTATAATTTTCACCATATTGTTGCAGTTTGGACCTTGTTCTGGTGCCGTTGGGGTCTGTAAAAATTATTTTGCACAGTTGCACAGCAGTTGGAGTGGGATTTTCCTTTAAGTGTAATACAGCTAGATAAAGACATGGAAATGTGAGTCACTGCAGTATCACAGTCGCTCACTCCAATAACGGAAGAACATTTTATAATAGCAGGAAGGATAAGAATGTAGGCGTGAAACTAAACTTCGGTATTGCAAAGAAACCTTTTTGTCGGCTGGCTTCTCTTTAGCCATCCTGAGCATGGAAGCCTCTTACTAAATTTGGCTTTTGTTTCAACTCCTGAAGCTTCAAGGCTTAACAAACCCTGAGCCTGGCTGGACTAGGTGGAAGAGCACGACTTCCCCACTGCTCTGGGCAGCGAGGGGATGCCCTGCCATGGCTGCCAGCAGATGGAGTTTATCAGTGCTCAGCATCTCTATTTCAGCCTGGTCAGAACACGTCACGTGGACCTGCTGAGAACACCAAATGCCTTTTGCATTGTCACTGGTACTCATTAAGCCCAGCAGTGTCGGATACCCAATTGCTTTGTCCACCCAGGCTTGTTCTGCCCTCGTTTTCCTGCACTGATGAGTGGCTTCTCTGCACCGGCAGAAGAATGATCATTTTCCTAGAGCCATCATTAATTTAGGATGGGTACTGGGGGCTGCTGCTTGAAGCTCTCTGCTGTTTGTTTTCTTCTGTAGCGGTGGTGTAGCTGTGCTGCCCGTGGTGCGTAGTGCGTTTCTTGGGCGGGATGATTTCCAGGCTGCCTAATGCTGAGGCTAATACAGAGAGGAGCCGAATAAAAACTACATAACATAAAAATAAATAAATCAAATGCACGGAGCGAAACAAGAAGGGGAAAAAGAAGAAATAAAATGGCAGATGGGAGGAGAGCATAAGCTAGAAGAGAAGATTTAACACTGTGTAACATTGCTAGGTGGTAGCAAAAGGGATAAATTGAAGCACAGAAAACGATGTGTTGCATTTCATTATACCTCTTAATAGAGCAAGGCATAAGATGTACAAAGTGGCTGTTCATTAACTTCTGGGACTAAGCGGTTCTGTTAGCCAAAAACGTACCGCTTAGAGCCGAAGGGGTTATGTACCTCGAGCAGACATCTGTTACTGTGTTTTTTATTCCTGAACTGTTTGTGAAATCCCACGGTACTGGACAGAAAGCAACGTACACTCATGCTGTGGGTCCCCTGTTAGCAGCCTAATGTTCCTCCACGCCCACCTTTGTAAACTGTTTAATTAGATGTGCAATTATAATAAACAGGAGGACTATTTACTGGTACACTCCCTGAAGTCAGTAAAATCACAGTAGCTTTACGTAATTGTAGCAAAGCAGACTTCAGTCCACCTTTCTCGTGTGCAGTTTTGATGGATGAGAAAGGATTTATCAGGGTTCTCAAGCAACTTCTGTTTTCTTCGATGGATAGAAGTTGCATACGTCTCACATAAGCACAGCGAGATAATTTCTCTTGTTATTTTTTTCCTAGCTGAAGACTGAACCATCCCTCCTCTCTGATTTGACATTGCACTGCCCTTAATCCGCTCTGCTCTGCGTCCGTTTTGTCACGCAGACTGCAGTTTTCTTTTGGTGTTTTTGAATGCATGGCACATTTGTACAAAAGAAGTGCCTTCTGCTCTCCGAGACAAGCCTGTGCAGAAAAGAGGAGCTTCCTGAGCGTGCCAGAAATTATAGCTTTAATGTGTGAAGCATTCAAAATTCAGCACACTGCAAGGATCTGCTCAGTAGCTGGAATGTTTGTGCCGTTCAGTCAAGTCAGCTGGCA